AGATGAAAGAGGACAAGATGAGAGAAAGGAGAAGCGAGAGGAAGAGGAGATGTGGAGGAGTCGGATGAGAGGCGGCTAAAAACCTCATGGAGGGTCATTCACCAGTGCGAAACAATTTCCTGAACAGATTTGGAAAAAAAAAGACAGACTTAACAAGGTTTTGGTCTGTGTGTGATTGTGTGTGCCTGCAGAGTTGCCAATGAGCGTGGTGGCTCGTTCAGCTAGAAAAAATAAAATGCTAATGAGAGTGGCTCATTAAACAGAGCATTTATACAGGGCAGATAGGACAGGAGATTAAATGAATTTTCCCTCTTCTCCTTTTGCTGCTTGCTTCAGCTCTCATCACCCCAACACACACACACACACACACACACACACACACACACACACACACACACACACACACACACACACAGTACTCATGGGAAGGGCGGTTACTTATTTCCACCTGCCGTTGAGCCAATTAAAATTGTTTTCTGGAACCACTTCTGACTCTGATAGTGCCATAAAAGCTTTCACACAGAAAAGAAAAAGAGATAAACAGTTGAAAGAACTCTGGATATGAAGCATTTCTACACATTTGCTGCATCCCTGTGGATTATATATTTGCTCCCTGTCTGAATCATGACATTCAGAGCTGTCATCTGGGAATATGACTAAGATGCTACTGTGGTTAGGAAGAACAGACGGGAGCGACTTTCTCAGAGTCTGTCTTGGCCAAACAACCTCTCTGCCAGCCTTTCCTTTCTTAAAGTTCTTCTTAGACTTTCCTATAACGCTTGATTGCGGCCATCTTTGATCTTGTTCACAAAATTAGGAACTTACTCTTGGAAATGAGAGTTTCCAGAAGAACTACAGAGTATGAAAGTATGAAACTGTCATAAAGACATCAGAGACGCTTCAGTCTGTCCTGCCTCTGATGCTGCTGCTTGCAAGTACAAAACTTCGGCTAAAGTCAGCTCAGTGATCTCTTCTCCTAACAAGCTGGCTCCATGTCAACCCTCCGATCTCCATGACAACTGACCCCAAAGTATCCTGCCTCCATGGCAACTGTCACCATAGTGATTTGTAAAGAGCTCCTGAGGTGATGCCATGTTGACATGAGCTGCAGCGGGATGTTATGGGCAACTTGACCAATTGACATCTTTTTTTTTTCACTGTAAAAATTAAATAGCTCAAATAACGCAACATTTAAAAAACTATATAATAATAATAATAATAATAATAATAATAATAATAATAATAATAATAATAATAATAATAATAATAATAATAATAATAATAATAATAATAATAATAATAATAATAATAATAATAATAATAATAATAATAATAATAATAATAATAATAATAATAATAATAATAATAATAATAATAATAATAATAATAATAATAACAATAATAATAATAAAAAAGAATAATAAAACTAATCTGGCCTCCCAAAACATTTCAAATTTTCCACAACTTTGCATGTGTTAATACATTAAACAGTCAATAATGTCTATGCAGCAATTATAGGTAATACACACAAAGCAGATCACTCCATCCAGCAAAGTTGCTGCTGTAATCTAATTTTACCATCTAAAGATAATTATGTCTAATTATGTCTAACCCCTCAGATTCTTTTCTGTATTAGCAGGATAATTACAATTAATACCTGGACTGATCTGATGGTCAGAGGTGATTTGAGTTTGTTAATCACCACTAATTACTTTATGGTCAGCTCATTTGCAGAATCTCATGAGCCTCTTAAGACTGGCAGCAACGACTGCTTCCAGTAATTGATACCTTGACAGTCAAAATAATGAATACTGCATGAAGTGAATGGAAATATCACATTTGCATGAATTATTAGTGCGTTGGTTTTCCCTCTGGGAGCATGAAGGGGAGGACGATGAGCGATGGTGACACAGACAAGCAGCATCGGTATCTCTCTGGCAGTCTGTCCAGTTGCATGGCTTACAGCTGTGGATATCAAACTTCTTCTCCAGGGACACACATTCAGACGGTTTATATTCTTGTGGGGAAAATAACAGTCTGGGAGATTACGCATTGGCTACTGTAACATGTTTTATTCCAGAAGCAGCCCTGCAGTCCGTAATTTTATGCATCCTGCCTTACATTGCTCTGCAACAAATAAGAGCCAAGACTGCTGAGGTATAAATTTCAAGAAAAACCACTTCTGTACAGTGGAGTACGTAACTGCCGAGAACAAAGTCTGCTCTCTCCGGTTTCACTCATTCCTTCCCTCTGCATCTCTTTTCACTGAGGTGGATGGAGAGCTAATCAATTCTCACTGGGATCTAAAAGGCCAGGACTCAGGCTGCAGCCTTCTGCTCAAGTTAATATCACGCTCTGTCTTTTAGCTCCACCCACTCCTCCTCCTCACATCTGCTTTGATTTGGACAGTCTCTCCAGTTTTCACATGGACATTGTCTGAAAACAGCTCTCTGGATGCATCAATTTAATTGGTTTCTCATTCGAGATATACTGGTTACAATATCTTATTGTATCTTGACAACTGCAATATGGAATGATTTATAATTTCTTTAAGATCCCATATTGTATAAAGGGAAATTTCCATGTATTTTTTTTTTTTTTAGGTCTAGATTCTATATTAATACTGTGAAAGTATCAGCACGCTCAGTCCACAGAGAAATACACACAGCTTGTATTCAGAAACGGAGCCTTAAAACGAGCTTTCAGGACTTCTGTAACTTTGTGATGTCACAACAAAGCAGCCCTGCCCCAAGCCCCGCCCACCTGAACCCACCATCCAGCCTTGCAGGATTTAGTTTCTCTGAGTGTTTTACCTGAGTTCTGACACATTTTTAATCAATCACTCAGAAAACAGTGGGCCAATCAGAGCAGAGGCTCAGAGCCTCTCTTATGATTGGCTGACTGACCTGAGCTCCAGAGAAAAGCATGAGAGAGGAGATGTTAAACTACACTGAGATGGTTTTTGGTGCTACAAATAATTTATATATAGATAGAGAAATATGGAGAAAGTTGATGGTGAATGGGGTCAGGGTGAGGAAGTGAATAATGAGACCAACAGCAGAGAAAGAAAGTGGTGATGGATAATTACAGAAGAAGAGTACAGGGGGAAAAGATAAAGAAATTAGCATCGCTGATGGATAATATTCAATTTAAATATATGCAGCTACTGTATTACAGCCAGCCCAGTGGCTTAAACTCTTATCCCTACTTGCAGATTAGCACTCAGACAGTCCACTTAGACCTTTGCTGATAAGCTCCAGCGTCTGAGGAGGATTCCTCCTGAGAGAACTGGCTAACCAGGCAAACAACCGTTTTCAAATGACTGACAGTTGCAGCGTCTAGACTGTATCTGAAACAAAGATACGTCAGCCTCCAATCTTCGTCTCTCTCCTGCTCCTACTGTAAACTCACTGTCTAAAATGCACACACACACACACACACACACACACACACACACACACACACACACACACACACACACGCACAAAGAAATCTCCATCAACATTTGACTCATCAGCAGTATCTGAGCTCCGGTTTGGCTGTATGACTCCTTGAGCTGATCCACTGCCTGCACAGCACCGCTGGAGCTCTTCCACACTGACCGCAACAGACAACATAATGATATCATGGCTCCAAAGAAGGACGGGTAGAGAGAGAGAGCATGTGTGTGAGAGCAGGAGAGATACACCACTAGAGCAAAAGAGACACTCAACTGATTGATTAAACAATGGCTGCTCATTAGAGAGAAACTAGCCTGAGGTTGTGTGTGAGGGAGGGCAAGTGTGCGTGTGCATGTATGTGTGTGTGTGTGTGTGTGTGTGTGTGTGTGTGTGTGTGTGTGTGTGTGTGTGTGTGTGTGTGTGTGTGAGTGCTGCTGAATGGCCTGCAGCTGAAAGAAAGATAAAGACAGAGAGCTGGTGGATAGAGATATAGAGACACACATGGCAGAGTCAGAGCGCTAAACACACACACACACACACACGCATACACACACACACACAGTATGAAGCAGAACTCTAACATGAACATGGATCTCGTAGCTGTGGACCAGCTGCTGCTATATATAGCACATGGGAAAAACTAGGATAACACATTACTGTTCTTCAGCTGAATGCCACACACACACACACACACACACACACACACACACACACACACACACACACACACACACACACACACAATCACCAAGACATCCACCCACACACTAACAATCTGAACCAGTGGGCCATGGAGCCTCTGGCTGTAGCGCAAGACAGAAACTTGACATACCATTATTTTGCCGCACTCCACCGTACTCACACACACACACACAGACACACACACACACTCACTGAGGTACAGACACCATAGATCAGGTGTAAATGAACACACACTCATATCAGTGCGGACAGTATTGTATCGTTGCTTGTTTTAAGGTGATGGGAAACATGTTAGAAAACAGTCGCTTATTCACACGTCCTGCAGTTATGAAGCGACATTATTTCATTTGAAGTCGTGTTTCTGGCCACTTGATGAATCTAAGTCCAATATTCAGGCTCTTTTAGCCGTTTTCAGTCTCTACTAACTCCTGAGGGAAATATCTGTCTCTTCAGCTGCTAAATGCTCCACTGTGTTCAGCAGCAAGTTGCTCACTGTGTCTGTTTGCTGTTTGCTGCCGGGCAGGTATAGTGCAGTGGGTTTTTAGAGCTTTTTGGCAGGAAACAAGAAGAACAGAGAACAGAGTGAACTAAAACAATAAAGCTAGTAAACTAAAGTGTGAGATGAAAGATGCTATGAGGCTGTGGAAAGCCACTGGGAGCTGCAGATAGAGGTGAACTTTTATGTCTGAACTATGAAATAGTGTATATTGAATGAAGTTTGGGACATCATCAACGTCTGTGCAAACTGAATGACAAGACACACAGGGAGAATAAAAGTTACGTATAAAACACACACACACACACACACACACACACACACACACACGCACACACACTCACAAACTCACAAACTCTTACCTTCTTGGTGAAGTCCATGGCTTTGAGGATGGAAAGATTGAGTGTTTCCAAAGAGGCCAGGACTCCCTCATAGTCCCCCATGTGCTTGGCAAAGTAGTCTGCGCGCGCACACACACACACACACACACACACACACACATATGTACATGTGAAGTGGCACATTACAAGGTTTAAAAAAAAATGTTCAGAAATGCAAAATAATTTGTAGCGTTGAGCTGAAAGTAGCTGAATTAATATATTTCAAAGAAAAATAATTACATTTCAACTGAGAAGCACTTTTTAATAATAGATAAGAGAGAGAAAGAGGGCAGTGTGTGTGTGTGTGTGTGTGTGTGTGTGTGTGTGTGGTCTACTTACCACAGAGTTCCTTAGTGTCAACATTACTATCACAGCATGGCAGAGGAGCAGCAGAGGGAGAGAGGGGGAGAAGGAAGAAAGGAATGAAGCAAGGAAGGAAGGAAGGAAGGAAGGAAGGAAGGAAGGCAGGAAGAAAGGAAGGAAGAAAGGAAGGAAGGAAGGAAAGAAGGAAGGAAAAGGAAGGAAAAGAGTCAGGGTCAGAAACAGAGGAAAGGCTTTTTGCATGCAGTCACACACATGCACGTACCCCTGCACGAACACACACACATTCACAGACGTGGAGTTTGGCGGGCAGGGACTGATCTAACCAGGCTCTCTGACAGGAGTCTGAATCAATCAATCCACTACCATCATTCATGCTCAGCTCTCTGTGTGGGGACTCGTTTGGCAGCGAATTCTTCACTGGCATAAAGGAGACTTTCCCTGGTTGACTGACCGGTGGAGAAAAGCCTCTTTTCAACAGAGCTCCTGCTAGATCACCGTTACGACGACCCCTCATTATGCCGCCTTTGCTTGTTTACGCTGAACCGAACAAACCCGGCATAATGCTGCCCCGGTGTGTGGTTTTAGACAGCGTGCCATAAGCTCTCCCTTTTCCACAGACCTCGATCCGGCTCTGCGACTACATCTACTGCTGGCTTAATGCCAGAACAACAATGTCCTCCCCAATTCCATCTGTACACCTTTTATACAGAATGACCAAGGTGGAATTAAGGCAGCAACATTCCCAGCATCCCTTGAACAGGCTGTATAAAAGGGGCTGAAGAGGAGAGGCAGGCAGGGAGAGGGGGAAAACGAAGAAGGGAGGGAATAGAGGGAGGATGATCCAGCCAAAAGAGGGATGATCATGTAACTGATGATGGGAGAACTGGGGACAGAGGAGGAGACAGACAGGAAGACTCCATCTGTTCATCTGTTCATCTTCATTAGAAATTACTTTTCACTGAAGCCTACACATTATATGGAACAACACAGAAAAAAAACCCCACTAAATTAATTTCATTTCTATTTCAATATTTTTTTTATCAACAAATGACCTTTATGCTTTGTTTTGACTGGATGGCACTTGTTTGACAGGATGATTGGATAATGGCTCATATTATCTTATTAAGCAGCAGTTTCATTTTGCATGCAGGGCTTCTGCCAGAAATAATCCTGATCTATCACTGTGACAGATGGGCTTTGAAAACATCCACCAAAAGTCTAGTTTTACCCAACATTAAATGTATTTTCCTGTTTACTGCTCCTGTTTACTTTAAACTGCGTTTGGGGATGTGTGTGTAATGAGTCTAATAAAGTTGTTCCAACATTTTGTTGGCTAAAATAACAGTGGCAGATTGTTTACTATCCAAATGGTGGCTCCAGATGCAGACTGCATGTTCACAGAGGAAGTAAACCAGTAATTATGTTGTTCCCTGCAAGTGATACAGGCACCTAAGTCTCATTAATCCTCGGGTTTCCACTCTATCATGGGTAATAAGAATCAGTATATGTTTCTATAGTAACATAAAATTTAATTAGTATCACATACATTTAAATGAAACCATGTAAAACTGCTGATGTGGGGCTTTCACACAGTATCTTATTTACATCTGCTTCTCTTTGTGAAGATTAAAGGGGCAGTCTGAAAAAATAACCCAAATGATGTCATCAAATTCGGGGTTGTGGTGTTTCAAAGACATGAGTGTCTACAGGGCAGGGAGGGTCTGCGTTGCATTATGGGAAATGTGGAATCCAGCATTTTCAGAGCTTCAGGTGTACTAGAGACTTAAAAGTCAGGATACATCAGGCTCTGTTGCACCAATTATAGCCATTAGAAAAAAACATGTCTCTCTTTAAGGCCAATGCTAAATTGTTGGAGTACTTTTTCAGGATGGCAGCTACATTTTATGAACATTAGTTAATCCCACATGCTTTATTTGTATGATTTTTGATGTAGATACAAATGGGAAAAGGCTATTGCTGTTATTTGACCAATCAGAAGAAAGACTGGACAAAACAAACAATCACAAAAAGTATATATATAGTAAAGATTTTATGTGAGAAGAGTGTAGTTTTATTTCATACAGTCATCTTTGTTCGTGTGGATACACACAGAAACAACTAGGCTAACTGCTACTTGTCATCTTATAACTGTTTCTAAAATCATGTTTTGAAGGACTGTCATTGAAGTGGTGCACATTTCTTCAGGTGCCACTGTCACCGTTTCATTTGCTTCATAGTTTGTTGAATTGACTAAATAATAGGTCAGACTTTCAAGGCTGGTCCCTGTATTTCAGTTCAAATCCTTTTAAAACCAACAAAGGCAAAAACTGATAAAAACTCAAAAAATGTTTTCAAAAATGAAAGAGGAGTTTGGATATCACCTGAGAGTTCATGCTCTGTTCTCCTGCATCGTCTTGTCAGAAACACAAGTCTTAAAAAACCAGCCTGATAAGGGAGGAAAGCTGGAAATGGGAGGAAACCAAAGAGTGACGGACACAGATAGACGAATGACTGGAAGCAGGACATCACTCAGTCTCTGCCTGCTCCATCCCTCTTCTCCATCCATCAACTTCCTGCTTTAGCAGGAAATGCTTACACCGTCATTTCAGCTTTTACTCGGACCAATCAATAACCTTATCTGCTGTCACATGATAATGCTGAGGCCTGGCATGCAGCTGCCAAGTCTACTTTAGTCCATCCAATGAGCAGAAACTTTTCTGACTGTATTCACCGCAGTGAGAAAGATTTATAAGGCTCAACCATCTCCAAAAGGCGAGATGGCTGACATCAGAGAGATGGCAGCAGTTGCAGTTGCATGGTCCACTTACTGCACTGATTTAAAAAAACAAAAAAAATCTCCACTAATATCTGAGCCTGGTGGAGGACTTATATATTGAACCTAATTCAATCCTACAGCAACCATAAAGGTCAGCTTTTGTTCTGCTCGGTTGGATTTTATTCGAGGACCTGCAGGATTCGGAGGTTGTGTAAATGAACAGAGCCGGTCTTTTGATTACTCAGATCCCACTGTGTCAGCACACTCTTCCTGATTACAGGCTGGATGAGCTGATTGGCTGCTTATAAAGGGTCAATAAACTGATTTAATGAGAGCCAATCAAAACAGTGTCCTGGGGGGCAGTAGCCAAACAAAGGTTAATGTCCTGGAGGGACAGAATGACTAATGCAAAAATAAATGACGGGACGAAAGAGGGTGAAAGGTGGAAAAACCGGCAACGCTGCCGTTCCACAGTTTCTACTTTTCTTTCATTATTTTTTCCCACTGTTTTTTTTTTTTATTTTTTATCTCCTGTCTTATTATGATTTTTTTATTTTGTCATTTTCATATTGAAAGTGTCACTTAACGTAAAGGTTCTGGTACAAAAGGTTCTCCATAAAAGAGCTTTCAGAAGGGGATGTGACATTTCCTGGCTGCAGGATAAATGACATACTGTACATTTTACCTAAGTGTGCACACACACACACACACACACACACACACACACACAAAACTGAAAAGCGTGGTATTGAGGCTGTGCAGCAGGAAAACATTTCATAATTGATAGTGAGCTGTGATCAAAAGCAAAAGTCGTGATGGAGCGAGTGCACAAACACACACACACACACACACACACACACACACACACACGAATGTATAAGTACTGTATGCAGATTTATTTCATGCCGCTACACAGACAGCAGTGTTGCATGCTGCAGACAAACACACACACACACACACACACACAGGAACACACACGGCCGTGCAGTAGTGGTGTAGTAGTGCTGACCTGGTGTTATCAGAGTCGATGGTGTGAAACAGCTTCTCCAGCTCCTCCTCATTCAGTGTGCCATCAGAGAAGAAAGCCTGGAACTCATCCAGAGACAGCTTACCATCATCTGCAGGAGACACACACACACACACACACACACACACACACACACAAAGCATTGTGAAATCATCTGTAGTAGTGAGCGTTCTCTGAATGAGTCCTGAACTCCATCAAAGATCTCAGGACAAAAACACTCAATATTACACAGTGTTATTAAGGGGAGCTGTGAGTTTAAGCTACTATCATGTAAATGACTTCACCTTTCAGCTGCGTTTAAAGGGGATGAAATGACATAAAATGAGATGTGATCATTAAAGCCCGCTCCACCTGGTGATTCTATTTTCCATTAAATAATGAAAATCATCCTGCTCAACATCTTTTTTCAAGCAAACGTTTTTGAAGTTATCAAGTCTTTTAAATCATGAATAAAGGCCAAGTGAGATCACGATCTGTTGCTGTCAGGTTACAAATCTTTTGGAAAGTCTCAAGATCAATTTGTGACTTGAGTCCAAGTAATATGACTACAGTCCACAGTGCCATATATTGTATATCTCTGACATCAGGCCAGTGTCGGTGGTAAGTCACTCCACAGGACTGAAATATTTTGACAGTTACTGGATGGATTGTAATGAAAATTCATACATGGGGGGTGGGGGGTGGGGGTGGGGGTTTGGGGGTGGTGGTGTGGGGGGGGTGATACTGACAACCTCAGAAAACAAAGAAACAAAGAAGTTCTTTGCTTCTTTCCCTTTATGCATCTGGGTCTCAAGAGGGGCCATTATAGGCCCTTTGATGGCACCTCTGTGAAAAATGTAGAATATAGAATAAATACCTTTCTATTTTCACTGTGCAGGAATTACATTCAAAGGATGTTTCCACAGTACACAGAGTATTGTAGTTTCCACTGTGGTAGACTGTAAGGCTGTGGTGGTATCACCTCATACCAGAAATGATCTTTTTAGATTATTAGCTCTTTCTTGGGAATACCTCAGGACCTTGTGGTGACCACATGTGGTGGTGTGACTTCATTAATCATAAGTACAGTGACAGGTTTTTATTCTGCATCTAACTCCGACTAATACTGCAGTTTCTCTCCCGTATTTGCTTTTCTGTGGCGGTCTGGGGGCTCTACAGCAGGGGAGTGGTTATTCAAGGCTTTGACTCCATCCTCTATCTGCTCGCTAGTATGCCTGACTGTCTGTCTCACCACATGATGCAGAGCTAGATATCAAATATTAATTCCCTTGCCCTCAAAGTGTGGTTGTCCTTGAGTGTGGCTGACTGGATGCAGCAGCTCGAGCTCTGGGACCACTGCAGAGAGCCGGGAAACCACAGGGACGGGGGGGACTGCGGCCTTACAGAGGGCTGAATTCAAATGTGCTGCTCTACACTGCTCTTAAGTCTGCCTTATATATTCCCTCTGTTGTCTCCCAGTTGCAGGATTAGGGAAGCTTATGTTTATGAATTTCTCATTTCAACACCAAGAACTGATTCATTTTTTATTGCCGCTCCTTTTTTTTTTTCTTCTGCTGTTGTTTTCTTGCCTCTGTTTCTTTTTTTCTTTCTCTCTTTGACCTCCTTCACTCCAGTGCAGCCGGAGTCGGAGTCTGTCTGACACTCATCCAGCTCAGAGACAGCAAGCAGCACTTTCTGCCTGGGTTGGAGTTTTGACCACTCCGGAGAGAAGACTTCACACGGTTTTTGAAACAGACTAACGAACTGTCAAAAAAAAAAAAACTTTTAGGAGCCAGTCACATCTTGGCTTTTCTCCTACCTCCTCCCCACCTCACTCCCTTTTTGTCTCTCCATATATTTTATCCCCCTCCCCCTCTTCACGATCCTTGTTAGAGCGACACAAAGCGGAAGCCGGCTCTCAGATGCTGTGCCATGTTGATTTCTGCTGCACACAATAAGAAAAGCCTGTCACAAATAGCTTTCTTTCAGTGACACTTGGCATAACCTTTTCCACGACAGAAGGCACGTTTGTTTGAGGCGGACTTCTGAAATGCCACTTCTTGTGTTCACAGCACCAGTCAGGCTGTCCCTGCCCACCCAGGCTCGACTGTTTATTCAGACTCTGTGGCCATGACTATTTCTAACCTGCCCTTCTCTGGCGCAGCAGTGAAGCAACACAACACTGAAGGCAGAGGCACTGGTGTTTAATTCAGCAGTGACCCAATTTACTGCGTGCAGCCAGCTAGCCCGGTTAGACCCACTTAGGAATTCTCCAGTAGCACACCAGAAACACGGCAACACACACACACACACACACACACACACACACACACACCACTCAAGCAAAGCAGATAGCGAGCTAACCCCATTTCCTAAAGCATGAAATACTCCCAAATTACACATGTCTAACAAAAAACTACAGCTCCTCTAATCCCTGTTGTGTGCTGCTGCTCGACCACGGTAAAATACAGATGTGTTTCCTTTTCGGCACATGATGCCTTCCCATACATGTGTAGTATTACAATGTGGTGCTTCCTTGTTATCCGTCTGTAAACTCTCTTTTTGCATTCACCCAGCCAGCCGTGGTGGTCAGATACACAACTGCATCCAGGGAACATTTTAGCTGATTCCCATTATTTGAGCCCTGGTTCTCTAGCCACCAATTCACCCTGCAACTCATTTACTCTCCACAATAAGTGATGTACAACCGCCCTGGCAAACACTCTCTGCTCACTAACCTTTTAAGCTGGCAACAGAGGAGGTGACGCAACATCCAAGAGCATCCTGTCTCGTCCAGATGAGACACTGTGGATTGGCCCTATTTGCTGAAGCTATTATTATTCTACTGTCCCAAATGGTTAATGGAGGGAAATCACCAACACTGAAAAACGTCTTCTACAGCAGCAGGGTGGAGATGAGGCGGCAGTCCAGGCAAAAAAAAATAAAGAAAAAGTGAACTATAGTAAGATCAATTTCAACAGAGTGTGAAATAAATTCTGTTTATTTCCCATGTCATCAAAATACTCACATACAGTATAAATAAGCTCTTGCAACTCACCTGAGACCTGCACCTCTTATTAAATAGAGGAAGCAAAATGAAATGCCATATGTCATATTTCAGAGTCCTTGGTTTAAAGTGCATGAACTGCAAAGCACAAGATTGCGGGCAAAAAAATAAAGATAAAGTTACACTCTCCATGCTTCTCTATATAAATCCACAACGTCATATTACAGCTTATTCTTTACTGTGCCTGATTCCAGTCAGTTTATATGTACATGTGATGTTAGAGGCCATAGACACAGTGGTGGAATACAACTAAATATATTTACTTAAGCACATGTTTGAGGTACTTGAATATTACCTGAGTATTTCCATTTATACGACGCCATAGTTCTACCCCTTAACTTCTCAGAGGGAAACGTACTTTTTACTCTGACAGCTTTAGTTACTTTGTGGTTTTAGCAAAATGCTAAATACCTTTAGTTATACTAACTTATAGTACATTTTGCTTATTATACTTCCTTTTAAGTAAAATCTTGAATGCACGACTTTTATTTCTTTCCACACTGAAGTTGGGGTTGATCTACAACAAGCTCAACACACTGCAAGGCTATATAACAACAGCCGAATGTCTAAATGGATAAATACAATCACGGGAAACAAATAAGAGCAGAAATAAAAGGCAGAGGCAGCCAGCAGGTTCTCTAAGCCCTCGCTCTTTGTGGCTCTGATTCGGTACATGTACTGTCTGTGTGTTTGTTTGTGTACAGGCGTGCGTGTGTGTGTGTGTGTGTGTGTGTGTGTGTGTGTGTGTGTGTGTGTGTGTGAGATTTCCATAATTTAATCATGCTGTGCCATGGTCTTGTACATTAGCAGTACAAGACCTTGTGTTAATACAAAATGAAAAAGACTCCAAATGTAGCAAAACAAACAGGGGATACAGTTCACCCGAGGAGACATGATGAACATCATCAAAGCTGCACTGGGCAGTGTTGTATAAAACATGTTTTAAACTGCAGGGAGCCTGTGTTAATAATATTGGCTTTGTAGCCTTAACCGAGACTGTGCTGTGGTGGAAATAAAACAGGTAGGTCTTATTGTCTGCATCTTATAACATGGAGCCATCGCCTTATATTTACAGCTTTACAGTGTTTATATTTGCAGCACATTTCTTTATACCACATACTGTTTGTGTTGACACATTGATGAATTTGTTAATTTAATTAGCTTGTTTTACTGGCTGGACAGCAACAGTGGGGCTCAGACCTATGAAAGGCGAATGCCCATGACTGACTGACTGACTGAGTGATAGAGTAGCACGTGACGTGAGTGACGTGAGTGATGAAATTACACCAATGATTTGTTTTGGGATTTTGGGGAAATCAATGATATGGGAACCCATCCCAGTAGTATCAATCTTCTCATCTCACTCTGGGAGAGGAAGTGAATTAGCGATCTTCAAAACAGTGCACTGTGCACCAAATCAGAGCGAGAGAACCTGTCTGCTGTCTCTGTCTGTTTGTTTCCTGTTCTTATTTGTTTTTCAGTCCCATACGACTCAGACATATTTAATGAGGTAATAGTTTGTGAGTGCATTTACCTACTTTTGCTGACACTATCATTTTACAGCCTGCTGCTTTGTCTTAAGTATAACGTAATGTACTCATGCAAACCTGCGTCACAGTTTTTTCAAATCTGGTGAGGGATTGATATTTGTTTTTAACGGCGGATAACGGCAAATATTTTCTAAATAAATTAAACAACAATCACCTCATACCTCTCAGAACAGTTGATTTAAAATCTTTCCCCCACATCATCCAGAATGAATTTAACCCTGCTTTATTATCCTGTAATCTCATCTGTCTCATTATAACACCCCGAGGTGATATCACAAACAGGATGGCATTTTCATCAAAGTTCTTCATTTTCAAAATACCACAAAGGAAATCATGCGACTAAAATGCTCTTTGTTCAGCCAATAATGAAAAAGTCAGATCTACATAACTGTGGTGCCATCTGTAGAGCTGCAAATTACAGGTGGTGAAAATGCCATTGACGCACCCCATCATTTCCAGGCTGTCTAACAGCAGTGAATTGATTCAAGAGTAAAT